CGCCTGCCCCCCCCCCCCCCCCCGTGTATAAGACGCCCCTCCATTTTTAGGTAAATATTTTTAGGAAAAAGTATAGTCGTATACACGGAAAAATACAGTAAGACACCTCAGTCTTGTGCTAACCAAGCCCTTATTGTGATCAACTTCCTGACCAGTTGGGCCTGTGTGTCAGGGTTGTAAACCACTGTTTTAATGTACACGATGGAAACATCTGTAGAGAGTTTTCTTAAATAGAAACCTGTTTAGTTAACTGTCAATAGATAGACACAACCGATTATTTTTAATGATATAACATCAAAGGGATCATAAGACTAGCCAGTATATTAGGGCTGCAAACAACTAATTGATTATGAAAATAATCAATAGTTGCAGCCCTACAGTATATGCTAAGTATATATGCTATGTAAAGTTTCCTTTTCCCTTCTAAAGCAGGAAATGAAGAATCTAGAAATGTTAAAGACATTCTTAGGGCTTTTATTATATTATTTTTTATATATTAAGTAGACTTCTCATCTGTTTCGGGGATCCAATAAAAACTAAACTTACATGAAAATAACCGAGGTTTCCTGAAAATTGCTTAAAGGTTGCGTTCTGCACATCCCATTTCCTATCACATATATCTATATTTAACCATCACTGAGTTACACCCTATGGTATATTCCTTTTTTCCTTTCTTCTTTCAACTTATGGAAACAAAACAAACTTGAGAGAACCACATCCAACCTTTCTGCAATGCCAATCTGCTGCATATTATAAGCACCTTCAGGAACATTCTTCATGCACTGCTATGTGAAATATGCTTACCAAAGCTTCAAATAAGGCCCCAGTGAGATTTCAACTCGCGACTTGTTTACAAAACCAGTGCTCTGACCCCTGAGTTTTCTTCCTTCCCTTATTACCGTTTCAAAGAACGCTTATTACAAGCAGCGCAGGAAAAAAAATCGGACCTTCAAGGACCTGCCTATCAACTGTTTAGAGACATCGCCTCCTACTACAGCAGCCAAGAGGAGAGTCATGAATCTGCAACTTAACATATTGAGGCGCCACCAGATCCCCTACAAGTTGGGGTTTCCTTTTTGGGATCGGATTACTTACAAGGGCAGTCCACAAGTCTGTAGACCTCTGGAGGTGTTTCAAACCTGTCTCCTGACCCTGGGACTCCAAAATAAGCAGTCTCCTTCAACCACCACAAACACTTCACTTAATGTCTCCACAACCGAAACCCCAGCACACTTCCTGTGTGGACAGGTGGAGCATCAGAAACACCAGCACTAGACTGAGCACCTCTTCTTGCTTGCATATAGTGGGCTGAACATCTCAGGGTGTGTTCCATCACTTTGACCTACTTGCTTCACTCTGTTCAGATGAGTATGCTAGGGATGAGATGCTAGGAATTTTCAATATTGTCTAGTTGTCAAATTTCACTGTGTTATCTGTATTGTATTTTGCCAGGGAGTGGAAATGGTTGCTGCGGTCAGAGGTCAATGTACTACAGAAAACTACTAAAGACTTACTTGTATCAGAAAAAAAATTCTTGAATCAAAGCTTAGAATACCGAGTGGTAAGAAACAGTTTAGGGCACTGTTGTATTATCAGGTGCCAGAAATTATGGGGATGACTTACTAAATGCAAATAGGCTGTTCACTTTGCAAGGGGATGTGTCCACTAGGTTTAATAAATGAGGTGAACCTCTATTGACTTCCCCCATACTCAAGCAAAAATGCTGTTTTATTTAAATTGCTCCTGGGTATTTTGTGCAAAGTGTAATTTCACTACGCTGACCAAGCTAAGGGAAATTCCCCATGCAAAGTAAACAACTTATTTGGCTTTAGTAAGTCAACCCCTATATCCCAGTATTTGTACTCTCTGCCAGCATGCATGGCCCCTGGAACTAAGGAAAATGTGATACAAGAGAACACAGATTACCTTTATATAAGAGCACTAAACATATTACATTTCCTTGCTATGATTTTCTGTATAATTGGCTAGCTAGAGCACATGTATAATATCCACCTACATACACAGTATATCTTTATAGTATGTTGTTTTAAACAGGTAAAACTGTTGTAAAAATGTAAAGCTGTACTGAAAAAAGCCTGAGAAACACAACCACTGCTAGCAAGAAATGAGTTAGATCCATTAAGTGTAGATTGTGTGAGGAAGGTTAGCAAAAGTTGCAAACTTGAAGTCGTGCATACTTGGAAGTAAAATAGTTCTCAAAACATCAGTAGATCTATAAACCTAAAGCTAATGATGTGATGTAGAAAAGCATCCTCCTTTTCTTCAGTAGCCGATTAACCCCTTCATGTCTGAGCTTGTTTTTAGTTTCTGTTCATAAATGACTGATACACTTTTGACATTTTTGCTGTGTGTTTCTTCCACGTCAGTAATATACTTTCTTACAAAGTGCACCCACACATATTATATGTTGTTTTTTAGAGGACAGATAGGGCTACATATTTATATCACATATGTGTGTCTAACGCCTCACTTAGGACAAATAAAATATTAAAAAAAGAGGAAAAAACGTAAAAAAAACACTTTTCCCAGTCTTTGATTTGTATTTTTTTTTTTTACAAAACCAGCACAGCTAAAAAAAAATGCAATAAATACATTCATTTATTTGTCCCTTATTTTTTTTTACACTTTTCACTATTTTTTTTAAACTTAAAATTTTTATTTAATTTAATTATATCAAGCAGTCATTGTGAATTAATCTCACTATTACTGCTTGATAAATTAATACATTTTTGGTTATTATCAGGCTGCTTCAAACTTCAGAACAGCTGATAAGTTAGTGACACTGATCCTGCAGCAGTTCAGGATTCAGCTGTCACTAGTTTTCTGATTGTTCCAACAACGATCAGCAAACTGACACATTCTTCTTTCAGGAATAGATACATTATGTATCTATTCCTGAAAGTGAAGAAAAAAAAAAGAAAAGCCAGCATAGCTTGAGAGAGATATCTCTCGATCTATATGAGCCGTCAGAATGCCGGCAAAGCTGCTCTGCTTTGACTCTCAGACACCTGATCTTCAGGTATCGGGTGTCTGAAAAAGGTTAACCCTTTCATTAATGGATGCCTCCATACTGAGGCATCCATTAATGAATGATAACCGCCGATTCTCAGCGGTTACCAGCCTTTTAGTGCAGCAAATAACTCGTCACGTACAGTGTACGTGACAAGTCATTTGGTCCCTTTGTGGTGGGACGTACAGTGTACGTCTCCAGTCACGAAGGGGTTAAAGAACTGCACATCTCTGGAGAGACTTTGGCAGAGAAGATAACAAGAAACGAGGAAGCAGGGAGTGCAAGTCTAGTTTGTAGCCTTTGGTCACAATGCTTGGAACCGCATCTGGGATGTCCTGGATCCGAGTGAAAAAGGCTGACAGATGTCTTGCCACTTGTGAAAGTAGGGGCTCCCCTGTATTCAAAGAGGTCTTGGACCCAGACTTGGTAGGCTTAGAAGACCAGGCCTTGTGTCTAAAATGTGATCCCGGCTTGGGCTTGGTACCCAAGGCCTGGGACAGACGAAAGTGAGGAAGTTGAAGCTTTAGCTATAGGATTCGAAGCTGATTTTATCTATTTATTATTATTCAATTTTACTATTTATTCTTTGTCATCTAAGTTCATCACGATTATTCACTTACGTTTGAATGTCATTTATATCTATTAGCCATAGGCTACACTTTATGTTGTTCACATAGTGATATTTACACATATTTTGTTGACTTTATCTCTAGCGCTGTGTTCCAAGTACTCTAATATCGGGATGTCTGAGGTGCATCGGGATGTCTGAGGTGTCAGACGTTGCGGTCTGACATCTGATCCATTAGTAGCAGAGGAGTGCCGGGAGAGTGGAACCGAGCGAGCAGGGGCTCGTTACAGGAGGCTTAGGCTTCTTTTTCTGGAACAGGAAGGTACTCTTATCCGTCCCCCCATGACCTTCTAGACATACATATCCAAGGACTCACTAAAAAGGTGTTTGCAGTGAAGGGCATGCGACCCATGCATTTTTTGCAGGGAAGTCCCGCAGACCAGCATTTTAGCCAATAAATTATCTGCATGAGGATAAAAAAAAAAAAAAAACACTCATTCTGGAGACTTGGCGCACGGTATCCACCAGATTATCAACACACAAGCATTCGGCTGCAGGATAAAGTTCTAGGTGGCAAAGAACATCAAGGTCTGTCAAAATGAAGCCTTGGACCATACATATAAGGTATAGCAGGCTGCATAGTAGGGTCTGCAAGGGCAAATAGCACCTCAAAGAGTGATTCTAACCTCTTGCCCCTGGAGTCCTTACAAACTGGTACAGTAGGTCCCCAACAGGGACTGTAAGGATCTTGTTAGGACAAGAAAGAGCTGGGTCCACTTGCTTCTTAAGGCCACCCTTTATAGGATATTGTTTGGCAAACATTTTTTTTTTTAGGGTGATCCCAGTCACCATACAACACAGGCTGTAACAGCGAGTGAAAACGTTTTTGGAGGTTTAGGTACTTTCAAGGACCCCAAACTTGTGACATTTGGAAGGGTCAACAAAGGTGGCTGTATCTGTAGTCTTGTGCACACTGCATTCACAAGGACAGTGTCCTTGAGCTTAGAAGAAATGACTAGCATTAGTGGTGTGTCTGGAATGGGTAGAGTGTTGCCAGAAACATAGTCGAGCTATGTGGCCCAGAAGGCCTCCACCCTGATGTCCCCACATCTGAGTTCCACCAATACACAACTAATGCAGCATTGTGCAATACCAACAAGCAGATCGTAACCCAGGACCTAGTGCAGTGTAGCAGTGCTGAGCTTCTGGCCAGGAGGCTTGAGGCAACAGAAGGAAGCATGTGGCGATGCTGAGTTTGCAGGATGGAGTATGTACAGGCATCATCTGTAGATCTCTAGTTCAAGGAAACACAAAAGGGTTGAATTTACTAAAACTGGAGCAGACAGAATCTGAAGCAGCTTGAGCAGTTAAGCTTTGAAAATAAAAGCTAGCAGCTGACTGGTTGCCATGAACAGCTGCTCCGGTCTCCGTAAATTTCCTTCAATTTGCGCAAAACTTCACTATAACCCAAAACTGACACAACTAAGTATAACAAGCAAAGTGCGCCAAAATCACAGTATTTAACCGATAAGTGGGGTGGGGGGGGCATGTCTGTGGCTTTCCTGAGGATCTTCCAGTCCTCACCATGGTTGTATAAGCGGTCATGTGAGACATACTGAACTAACTTTGCCCTATGGGTGGGTATACTTCCCCCTAGGGAGTCTACAGGGTCAGGGCTCTTACCTAGATGGAGCACCGCCCTGGACCTGTACAGCATCCTGCCCTGCGACTGATCACTGTCACAAAGGGCTCCAGATGCTGGGTCCATTGACATAGTACATTACAGGCCAGCCTTGCCTCGTCTGGCAGGTCCAGGTATGGTCCCCCAAAGCACTGGTAAGGAGATAACGTATCCATATAGCTGCAACAGGCACCGCAGTGGCATGGAGCATCATTATGAAACTTGCGCAAAAAAGGTAAAGGAAAAAGGAAGTACTTCTCTCAGGCTTGAGAGACGGTATGCATCAACTAGGGACACTAGCAAAAAAACTGAAGCAGGCAAGGAATGGGAGAAGTTATACTAGGCTCACTTGCAGCTTTGATTGATTTGCCAGCATCCAATCACCTGACGGTAGCTGCATAAGCCGGTAGTATTAGAATGAATTCCCTGTGATGTATGATTAAGAATAATTATTTTGTTGCAATCTCTTCTCTCCAGATCTGTCCCCCACAACTTACTGCTCCTGACATCCAGCACTGCTCTTATTCTGTGTTGAATGATGCCCACAATTATCCAACCCACTTCACGTCAGCCAAGGCTGTCAATGCACATCCCCTAGAGGTGCGTCATCAAGCTGCCTGGGCTCAGAGGATTTCGAAATTGAGAGGCACGCACATGCTTTCCATGAGTGTAGCTCAGTCAAGGAAGAAGCACCACCCATTTCTGCCACAGAACAGGAGATATTTAAATCCTAGAGGGGCCTCCGGAGGGAGCTGGAGAACCACCTAAAATAAAAGTACTTTTTATATTACATGTACATTGTTTGTATTGTAATATGTTTTAATGACAAAGTGGTTTTACTTTACCTTCATTTCCATTATCAACATCAATTTAACAAAACCTGATAAAATAAATCAACATACCCACTAGAATAAAAAATTCTGTATTTTAATTTACAAAATGTAGCAGCATATAAACATACATTTTGATTCTGTACAAAGATAATGCAGTAATAAAACAAGGAAGTCTAACAAGTCCATTTGCATGTGATTTTGTACAATTGATAAATCTCTATGCTACCATTGTAAACGACTAGATAGAAGTAAAAGATCATGCTCCCACGTCTGAAGGTGGCGCTGTATATCTGTACGAGTACAGTTTGTTGTCTGCTCCTCCACTTAAGATCAGCTTTGGGAAGACAGAAACAAATATATATTAGGCAAGGCATAGTGAGAAAACAAAACACAGAAATATATATTATATATAATCAATTAATATTATCCAGGCATAAAAACAAGTGATTTTTCAGAATATATACAATACACCTAAATAAAATAAAAAAAAAACTTAAAGATTTTTTTTCCTGAAAACCAGAAAAGGACTAAAGTGTGCACTGATCTTACCCCAGCTTCTGTCCAGTCCACGCTGAGCACTTTGTCTTCATGAGCAGCTAGATCATAAAGAGGAGCTTTACAACTGGAAAAAAAAGAAAACTGTGATTTTTAACCACTCGTTGTAATATTAGGTTTCTGTGTATAGCTTTGCTATACGATACTGATTTTCCAATATCATTCCAGGACAGAAGACAAATCATTTCTCAGTTCAAAGACAACTGTATGGATTCACTCAACATCGCTGTTCATGCTTGTCCAAACAAAAAATATTCCCATTATGTACAGTCCCTTAGGGCTCATATAGAAATGTTTGTGTCAAGTGTGGCCTTTTCCATTAATGCAAAATGTGTCTTTTACAAGAAAAAGACTGCCTTTGTCCTGCTTTGCCCGCAATTCAAAACGCACCTTAACAGGGCATGCTGAATCAAATCAAATGCAACACAATGCAAAGCAGGTCAAATGCAGCCTCTGAACTGTCATTTACACTACTCTATTGAAGTCAACTGAAATTTGCGGTCCTGCATTTAAAACTAGGGCTGCAACTAACTAACTGATTAATCAATGAGAATAGTTATCAACTATTCTTTTTATCGATTAGTTGGATCCCCTAGCTCTCTTCTCCACGCTGGGAGGAGGGTACAGCAAGTAGTGGGCGAGTGCAATAGCCAGCCTGCTATTGCAATTTGAAATGGCCAGTAGCAAACTGGCTATTACACCAGCCCACTACCTGCTGTATTTACATTCAGCTGCCGTCTGCGAAATCTTGCCACTGGCTGCCGTCATTCCCTGGCTGAAGCTATTCAAGTGCCATGTACTTACAATACAATTAAAAAAAAAAGTGGGTAAAAACTCATTTTCGGCCTGACAAATTCTGCTGCGGGACCTGTGTTGCAGTTCCATTAATTTCAATGCACCCCAAACACGCATCCCACCCACAGTGTGATCGCCTCCCCCGGAACGCATGGTACCGCCATGTCATGCATTACACTGCAGTGTGATTGCAAAAAATTGTGCATGCAGTTTCATTCTGAAGTAAACTTTGTTTGTAACACTGCATTTGTGTATTTTAATTTAAATTAGGGATAGTATTTAATCGGCCAACTAATCAATTATGAAAATAATCATTAGTTGCAGCCCTATTTAAAACGTATGTTAAATGGAGTAAAACAACGCCTATCTACATGAGCCCTTACTATGCAACACAGAAAAAAGTATTATAGGTGCCACTAGGTATCCACTGCTGTTAACATGAGGTTGACTTGAGAGCGAGCTTTCTTAGGCTGAGAAACTAAATGGAGTTTTTCTGCTGTCAGTGATGCCATCTTCCCAGAAGAAGCACAATGCCAACTCCCAACACCCCAGAAAGACAAAGGGGTCTGGGAGGAAGGAAAAACACCTGGATCTGCTGATCAGTGTTGAAACTGACTACACTTATGCAGACCTCAGCTGTAAACAAAGTGCTACACAAATGGGCATGTGGTCAGTGGGGAAGGAGAGTGTGTGTGTGTGTGTGTGTCTCAAGATCGCTGGGAAGGGTGTGTGTGTGTGTGTGTGTGCCAAGATCACTGGGAAGGGATGCACTGTCATTGTGATTATGTATGAGGTAAGGTGAAGGAAATTGCTGTGCATTGGGGTTGGGTGGGAGAAAAGTGCTGTGGGTTAGGTAGTGGGTGTAAGGGAGGTGCAGTTTGTGCTGTTTTAGGGTCCTAAACCTACCCTGTTCCTTGCCGTCAGTCCTGATGGCACAAGTCTGTGAGCAGCGAGACTCACCACTCACTACTGCAGCTCCATGAACACTTTGTATCATCATGGTGCGTGTCTGGCAGATGCAGGGAGGTTTGTTCCAGACATCTTTCAACACCCTAAAATGGTGTCACATGACTTAATTGGAGAAGTCTGGGACAGGAGAGTTTCCCGCATCTGCTAGCTGGGTGCCATAATGATCCTCCTCATCATCATCAATATCATCCAATCCCCCTCATACCACACCCTGAATGATCATCATTATCAATCATACTTCCAGGTTGGCTGGTTGACTCCCCAGACAGTAACCTCAAAAATATACCTTCTGGTGTCCCAGAGTTTCACTACATTATCAAGAGATCCAGACACGATCTGCTGTTCATTAGTTGGTGACCATTTTACTGCGGTGACCCATCCTGTGTGTGATGTCAAAGAGAGCAAAACCAGAGAGCCATCTGCAAAAGAGTACTATGGTAATGAGCAACTGCCAATACTTGATGCCACATATATCTTTTTGGGAGCAGAACAGATTCAAATTCCCTTTCTACCTATCTAGCATTGAGGGATGATTTAATAAAAAGAATGCTTTCAAAATTAGCAAGTAATCTTGTTACAATTTTTGTGTTTGTTTGAAAAATCCTGTCCAGTTTAGCAAAAAGTCGTGTGCACAAAAGATAATTTAATAGCTATACATACATGCTGGAAGTAATTACAAATACTGAGCCCCAAAAACTACATAAAAAAAGGTTTTTCATTAAGCCCCTGTATTTCCATACCTTATGGCCAGTTATGAGAACCACATTGTAGTGTAAATCATCATAAACTACAATACTTAATGTACCCACATGGAACGTGACTGGTTCAGGGACTGATTACACCTACAAGTTGCAGACAATTCAATGCTCACAAGATGTGGAGAGACTTGGCTCAGAAATAACTCATGCACTGGTAAAACAAGTCCCATGTCTTGTATGTAGGATAACACATAAAGGCAAAGTATATATTATAGAATCGAAGCAGCAAGTGTATCCAAAATATAGATCTACAGGACAAGAATATCCAATATGAGGCAAGTAAAAACATGTACATATTCATGACACAATGGCACAACAGGAATATAGTAAACTAAACACATCCACTGATGCAATGCCTTTAATGTTATGCAAGTAGAGTAATACAGACAAATGCATATACGGCAGAATTAATTAGCCAGGTGCCCAATATGCAGATCCACAGGCCATAACATACACATACTCTAAACCAGTGAAACATGTACCCCATAGAGTACCCCTGGAGGTTACAGGTGGTGGTTGAACCAACCAGCAGGAGAGGTCATAAGCACCTTCCAGGACAATGGAAGGAAGGACCGACCCAACTCCAGCACCGGACTAGATATCCACCAGTACAGACCAATCTTTTCTTGCTGGAAATGTGGATCTAAGATGTTAAGCTGCAGCAGCCTGAAGAGAAACTGAGCATAGGGAAATGCACATGCACCTTAATGCAGCTGCACTGTCACCACAGGTTTATTTCAAATGAGAGGATTGCAGCACAAATACTGTGTTGGTGAAGATATTTTCATTCCCTTTTATTTGCTTGCCTACGACACTACTTGAATGAATACCCATTGTGTTGTGGCCGCTCACCTTTAGTTCGTGGATCCCAAAGTCGGATATGTCTGTCAGTACTTCCAGATGCAAGGCGTCTGCACAGCGGTGAGTAAGAGATGCAATTAAATACCTTATTTCCTGTCTGGAAGATAGAGCACACAAGAAATGGAAATGGTATTTGAATTGTACTTTCTTGTTCTTATAAAAAGCAAACTAAAGCATAACTACAGCCATTTTTAATTATTCACAGAGTAGTAAATGGTTAAATCCCGTCAGCATTTTTTTTTGTCATCTGTGTCCCATTGGACAGAATGACCGTAATAACCTGTCATAATACAGGAGGAAGAGAGAGGAAACATCTCCAAAATAGCAGAAATCTCCACTGAGATAATTATCTTGGGAACAAGTGACAGCATTGGAAGATTACCCCCTCTATACCGGTTCTGGTGACAGCCTAAAACCTGAGATTATCCTAATCACTTTCACTGCTGGTTACAATTGTCACCAGGACAGAGAGGGAGAATCTCCACAGCAAAACCAAGATTTAAAAAAAATGACGGGTTCCATATACCAGAAGATGCTTTTTTTCACCTTAAAAGCAATAAAAGAAAAAAAAGTCAAACTTTTCTTCTCTTTTGGGTCACAGAAGTCAATTTACTAATATACTCCTGTGACCCAAAGTCTGCATATAGCAGGCTACAGCTGAGAAAAATGCCAACAATATTGTCAGGATCAACCCTGTGGTCTGCTTTACAGCTGACTATGCCTCTCTAGAGTCAGAACAAGTTGTGCCTGCCCCCCTCTCCTGTCTATCCCTCCAGTGAGCGCTAGGGAAAAGAGAGGGGAACCCCTGTCAGTCACCGCTCTCTGCAGGGAGAAGCCGTGAACTCAGCAATTTGTCATCGCTCAGCTTTCAGTATATAGAGCCGGCAAGTAACAGCTACAGTGTTCCACACCAGCTCCAAGTATTGGCATGAGTATATTTTACTCTCCCAGTAGTTCTCCTTTAAAAGTGAGACCTGTTGCCCTACATATAAACATCCTATCCAAACACAATGTTCTATGTGGCTGCAGTGCCTGGGCCTGGTAATTGCCTGTTCAGACATTAAGCACTGAAGTGCAGCAGACAGCGTATGTCTGAGATTAAGATCAGAAACTACTAGGTATTTTAGAGGTCTACCGGGGCAGATCAGGATTGTGGACTGTGCCGCTATGATATGGTCAGGCACTGTAAAAAGCAGGTCATAGGAGATGCAGACAGTATTTATTTTACACTTTTTATTGGTAATTGGGAATGACCAAATTGTGGGGTTTTACGTCATTTTCAGGCCTAAAATGTGGAATATAACATGGGTGCAAAAATGGAAAAAAGGGCCTCAGTCATGAAGGGGTTAAACAAACATTCTGTTAAAGCAGGACTCTATGCAGATATAAAATTCACAGTGTCAAGTACCCGCATTTGAATTAGGAACATCATCATCATGCAGTCTAGTGTACAGCAGAGCTTGATTGTAATTGAATAAAGTAGCACAACGAGCCAATCAGTTCATATGCTGACATGGCGCATGCCGACAGGAGAAGAGAGCTAACAAAAATAAGCTCACCACTGTGCAGCTTCTCCTTCACTGACCAGTCAAAGGCTGGATGTGGGTCAGGGCTTCAGAGAAAAAGAGGGTTACATGATGTTGGCCGTAATTTAACCGGGAAGACGTTTAGTGGTGGAAAAGTACTGCAGGGACATCTCCTGACTAAAAGGCGACTATTTCAGCAAAAGCTACTTTTTATCTATTAATATGCCATTCATTATTATATTTGGCTGGAGGTTTCCTTTTTACAATTGTAAATCACCATTTCTAATGCCTTCCTCTCTACTGTAAATTAAAACAGGCACACTGGTCAACAGATGTTGAAGTAACTGGATAGAGGCCCAAACACAACAGAAGGAATGCTTTTTAACCCAAAAACCTTTTCATTCTAGCAAACACAGCTCAATTACTTGTACCATGACCATGCAAGTCAAGAAACAATGACACAATGTCTATAATGTAACTGCAACCATTGAAATAAAAATGGCTTCCCATTCAGTTAACTGTTCTTACCAGAGTGGCTTTGGCTTCTCCAGCTTCAACATCCCAAACTTTGATAGTGTGGTCCCATGATGCAGTGCAGATCTCATCAGCATCAGACCATAACACTGAGGAAACAGCTTCATTGTGACCAGACAGGGTGACTAAGGGAGTCTGAAAGAAACAACAATGTCCCCGTTTCAGTGCAAATCGTTCCATAAAGACAGAAAGTATCTTATAATATTATTCCTTAGAACCAGAAATCATGAATATTTGCTTGATTCTATAAACCTACTCGTGTTAGTCCAAGCTGTTCAGTTTTTTGCTTCTTTCTTGGGTGGTTTGGGTTCTCCTCTGCTTCATCTTCTTCATCTGTCGGAACTATTAAAAAACAAACAAAAACACATTTAGGAATGTCACACCAGTAATCCAAACACTTTGTAGCACGCTTAGAATCCACAGGATCAAATTGAATACTCCATCAACAATGATGATTTGGAAAATGTTTTTAAAGAAAGGTGGCCATACCATAGCCATACAGGGGAATTGTATAATTTTGGGAAAAACTGAAAGAAGCTCATTCAAGTTTCTTCTTACCAAAAACAAAAATCTTCTATTCAGTTCATGTTGGACAGTGTACTAACCTGTCTGCCTATGAGGCAGTAATCAGTGTCGGATTATCTCCGCCCATCTCTTAAGGTGCCCATACACTGGTCAATTCGCAGTGTGCTGTCGCACCCTCTTGATCAGCATCCTTTGATCAGCTGATCGAAGATTTCTGGCCGGCCCCTTTAATCGATCAGAGCCGGCAGTCAATAAGCTGCCCGTTCTAGTCGGGTATTCTGATAGGTACCGGCGGCACCGGTCAGAATACAATATAAGCAGCAAGATTCCTCAATCTACACGCTGTTTGTGTTGATGGAGAAATTAGGTCTATTTTTTTTTGTTCAGCCAGCGGGTTAAACAAACAAAAAAAAAAAATAGACAGGTGTATGGCCAGCCTTACCATCAGAGGGGACAAGAATACTGTATAAAAGGTTCCAAACTGCATGATCTTTAGTGAAGAAAGTTTAAACACTGAATTCATTATCAAATCATTACTGTGCTGTACATAGCCTGTGCAAAGAGAAGAGTTATGGGAGGGACCCAGCAGGCTCCACCCACTCTACAGGACACCTGAAGATAACTAAAGTAGGAGGTGGGTACAAGACCAGTCACCCTGCACAAGGAAAAAGAGCAGTAGTGATCAGTCTTTATTAAAAGACGTTCCTGCACAGAGGTAAAGTTTTACTCTGGATTACTGCACAGATCTAGAAGAAATACACAAAGCACAACAAGATTCAAGGAAGAATACACATGGCTTGCATTTACACAATATTTGCTTATCTCGGAGATCAGCTTTATAAAACACTTCCTCTTTATGATTGTTTGGAATTCCATGGAGAGATTATGGCAGGTCAGCTCTGTAAAAGCTGTGCATCATACAATAATTTGTTTGTGGTTGACTTTATCAGTGTTCATCATCAGGTAGAATGATACAGCATATAGGCTGTAAGTAAGGGGTGTCTGATGGCAGGAGTAACGATGTGCGGTTTTGTATACAGTATATTCCTCTCATTTTGTTCAGGGTGGAATAATTCAGTCAGGAAAATACAAAATTATGCATTTGATTATTTCAAATTTACCACTTGCTGTAGGGCAGTAAGCACGCTCAAGGCTACTGTGCTGCTTTTTAAGCTGCTATCCTGTGTCGATGGCATCAGTTTGAGACTCTCCTGAGATCATTCAGAATGCATTAAAAGGTGCGCATTTGATCTCCAGTTCACTTCCTTCTGACCTGCTTTTAAAAGGAGAAGTGTGGAGAGAGTAAACCGTACTCTCCCGTGCTGCTTAGAGCCAGTGGACACTGCAGCTGTCATACGGTGGCTCTATACTGAGATTTCCTCTAGTTATAGAATGTCTTGTAGTCTTTGAAAAAAGTACAAGGCATTTTGTGAATGGGCAAGTAGTGAGGAGGGTCAGGGATGTGGCTGGAGCACTTCACTGCTTCAATTCCATCCCTCACCCCCCACCCCCCCCAGAGCTCAGAAGATTGGTGTAGGAGATGGCATGCTGCAAGGTAAGATTTTTATACTTTGCAGCAGCCCTCCACACATAACATACAGCTTACTAGTGATAAAGTTACACACCCAGTACAGTGGGTATTGCCAATTATGGAAAACATTTGTAAAGTATATAAATTATACTAACCTGCTGACCAAATCTTCAACATCTTGTCCCATGAACCACTGCAAAACTAAAACAAAAGTAAAAATAGTAAAATTCCTTCATTCAAAATGCATGCAATGAATCGAATGATTTGCAATTTGTGGATATCCTAAATCCTGAGATTGTTCTGATAAATGCTACTTGCCTGGCTATACTACTGACTCAACTATTCAATTACTTTTAGAGATGCACAGATACCAGTTTCAATAATTGCCATTTTCATGAGAACTACCAGGGCGCAGCTGTGACTGGGATCTGGCGCTCCACCACTGTCCTGAAATCATTAGTCTGTATTGTTTTAGAAAAACTGTCACATGACAATAAACAAAAATGTATCGGTACTTGTATCTGTGAGTATTTGGACAAGTATCGGTACTTGGTCCGGAAAAAAAAAAAAAAAAAAAATGGTAGCGGTTCGGTGCATCCCTATGTATAAAAAAAACAAAAAAAACAAAAAACAAACAAACCACACACAATATATATAGCAAAATTAGCATGAAATCATACAAAAACTAATCCTATATAATGAAAAAAGTAGGGATGTTTAGATACCAAGTACCGTACTTTTCCAACTCCAAGACTAGACTAGAGAAAAACTCAAAAAGTTAGGAAGCAGCTGTCATTTGTAAGGAGCATTGGCTACGGGGCTCCTGGGATTTCTACATCCCTGTTTTAATGTATGATTTGTTTATTTCATACATTAAAACAGGGATGTACAAATCCCAGGAGCCCCGTAGCCAATGCTCCTTACAAATGACAGCTGCCTCCTAACTTTTTGAGTTTTTCTCTAGTCTAGTCTTGGAGTTGGAAAAGTAAATTAAATTATTATTATATTTTACTTTCGGGCCAGCAAGGGGAGCTCTAGACTATATTTCCCATGTTCTTAAAGGAGAACTATGGGGTTAAGTCTTTTCCCCATAGTTCTCCTTAGGGTAACGGGAGGACACAAACTAGCGTCCTCCCATCACCCTAGGCTCAGTATACCGCTAGATGTAGCTCGCGGTATACTGAGGCGCCGCAGTATACCACGAGCAGCTGCTCGCGGTATACTGAGACGCCGCAGCGGATGCCGACACAGGTCACAGGTCGGCTAGAACTATGAGGCGAGTGAAAAGCACTCACCTCATAGTTCTCCTTTAAGGCATCTGTTGTTCACAGAGCGCATTAGCTCAAGCTGAAAACACAACAAAGTCAGAGCAGCAATTCGTCCTCTTGCCACCGTGGCTTTTCAGATAGTTGCATCTGTTACAACAGTGTGCCATAGGTGGAGAAAAGATCTTTTTGTATAACTGAAATCTATTTTATTTTTTCAGCTTTCAGCAACAATCTTTTTTTTTACCTCTCACAAGTTATTCACTGGAACGGCTTAAATGTCATTGAAAAAAGTGGGCGTTATAATAACTTTAGCCCAGCAGTGTACAGATATTCCCTTATAGTAATAAACCATATCCACATTTTTATGCTGGAGGCATATAGGTTGAACTTCGACAAAATGAAATTTTAAAAACCTGGAATCATCAATTAACCTAATTTTTTAATTATCTGCGATGTAGAGTTAAGGCACGTGTAGGAAACATACAATCATAAAAGGAAATAGAACCAGACAAGAATAATAAACAAACAAACACATTGCATTACTTTGGTTCCTGATCCATTCACAGCTATGGAGTCCACACTACCAGCATGACCTCTGCAGCAATGAAGCGCCTTCACTTTGTTCCGCTCTGCATTCCATTCCCATAAGAGTATGGTCTGGTCCATTGAAGCGCTCAGAAGCAAGCATGTCAGGCCATCTGTCAAAAACAACAAACTGTCAAACTTATCTGAAGCACTAACAAGGTGTGATCAAGCCACAAATAAGATGTGTAAAAAGGTCAAGGTAACTGATAGGCTAATCGAAATATACCTTTTTTGATCCAAGCCACGTCCTTCACAACCTCACTGTGGCCTGCAATTGTCATAAGTGGCTTTCCCTCTACTGACCAAATCCTACTGGTCTTGTCATATGAGCCAGTTAGAATCCTAACAATGGAAGAAAGCAGAGTTACAATGTATGAGACAAGGGATATCAACATTCATTACCAGTCACAAGGACAATATAAACTGACATACCACTCTTCACTTCCTGCAATAGAGCTGACCCAGTCATCATGAAGCATGCATTCTTCAGGTTGGGGGGCTGTGATCTTCTCCACATATTCAATTTCAACAACCTCTTCCTATAGAGAGAGAACAATACAATGAGTGTGGATACAGCAATAATTCCTAAATTCTGGAAATAATTCCTCAATCTGGAAAGCTCTCTACTTTAATTGGAAAGGTAGCAGTGTAAGAATGCACAATGCTTTGGAAAAACCCTTGAAGACAAGACTACAGTAGGTGCTGCCCCATTATCACAACACAGGAGTGTAGGAGGATAAACCATACAAACTACAGAGAAAGAAAAATCACCCATTAAAATAAGCATACACCACTATCTTTACATTATCACAGATAATATCCCCATCCCAGAAGGTTTAGAAGAGATGGTCACGGTTAGCGTGATCACATGGACAAACCGACAAATCAATGCTCCTCGTTGCAAGCATTATGTTGCTCTAGAGCCCCGAGGGCTGTGTAATGAAGTTTCCAAGTGCCGGGACCATTACACAGGCTGGCGTGGGCGGTGGGCAGGGGTTATTACAGATAAGTGCAGCGGGCCTTCCATCCTTTCCAGGAGGAAAACGGGCGGCCGAGGAGGGTATTGTGAGTTAGTTAACTTTTGCATTTCATTTATGAAAAGCTAAACCAATCCGTTAAAGCCCATCTCCGGGCAAAGGAATCAGGCGGGTAAAACAGCTTTAATAGTGTCCCCTAGTAATAAATGTGCACTTAAAGTGGAACCTTACCCATATCTTTAAAATAACAACAAACACACACGTTTAGTAATGACAATCTACAAACATATACTTCTAGACAATTGCCGGCTTTGTATTCTTTGCATACCGTATTTCTCCTTTCTTCCCCAGTCTTCTGACAGTGGCCATGTTTACTAAGGGCAGATTACTAGCTCTCCCTTTACTTCCTGGATTTCTGGCACATATGACTAGGACACGTGACCATGCACATCATCTCAGGGGAGGAAATGTCTTTCCCTGAGATCTCCTGAGATTACAAATGACATTTCCCAGCAATGCTCTGCTGATAACAAGGCAATCCCAGTGTGCATTGCTTTGGCAAACTGAAGTCATTTTCACTTTCAAACCAGGAAGTGAATGCTCTGCAAGTGTAAGTATTTCATAGTCACAGCATTTTACACCTGACTTGTCTATGTTATTATTAATCATCATAGAGGGATGCATTGGTAGAATTTGATTTTTGAGTGTAAAGGTCTGCTTTAACCCTTGTAGTGCAGGGGTAGCCCCACTGCAAATGTACGTATTATGTTTGCCCGGAAATTGGCTTTAATCTTCAGATTGTGGATGGGAAGTGATTAAAGAAGATTGTGTATGTGAGTGGTTATAGAAGTCAGAGCTTTTCATGTATCTTGTGTACTGCCCTCAATCCAGACATAAAAAGTTCCCAAACAAAGTAAAGTCTCCTCCAAGTACTAAAGCTTCTCTTTATCTGCACAGTCTTCTGAACTGATGGCCCTATGCTGCCATACCCCCACAAGCACTAATGATTTCCCTGACGTCCAATTTATAGTACCCTAGCCCAGGACTAGGGTGCAATCACTTACTGTAGACATTCCCTCGGCATCCATATGCTTGATAAGTGGGAGCCGCAGGAACTGGCTCTTGACAAGGAAGTCAAACTCCACATGTGTGTGATTTTCTGTAACAGCAGAAAAGATACATCATTATTAATACAGAAAAATACTTATAGGGCAACCCAAATGGCTATTGTGATCAAAGGAAAGCCGAACATACCATATTTGCTTTCAAGCACTTTGTTGATAATATTGCTCAGGTCCGTAATCTCGGAGGAAGCGGGAATAGAAAATGGGACATCGTCGATTTCATACCTAAAATAAAGAAAGGAGAACTACATTAGATTATCGGGAAATAAAGCATAAATCTCACGATGCAGCTGTCCTCTACTAGTTTGGGAGACCACTCAGGGTATTCTGCACAGAGGTCTATGCAAAATACTTGTTCAGAAATGGAAACGGTCTTAGACAGATGTGTGCACCAGATGCAAGGGGTCTATTCATTCACAGTTTACAGAGCTATTCACTTGTGAATCTCTGTGAACATTTGTTCTGTGCGAATAGAGGAAAAAAGAGAACATTCTTGGCATATTTTCTATCAGGTTGAATGTAATTTATTACCGTATTATGGACACTAGACTGCAGCTGAGCAGCATAGAAGATACATTCCTATTTCATATGCTCCTCAGCTCCATCTAGTGGCCATAATACAGTATTACATCACAGAACATTCAACCTGAAAAGAAAATATAATAAGAAGAACATTTGTTTTTGCCTCTATTTGCAGAGGATGAACATTCACACATCTGTAATAAATGGATCTGCACATTGTAGATAAATAGACCCTTACATGTTATATACCAAAAGAGAAATAAAAAAGGATTTATGACTGAAGGTTCTAAAATACTAGAACATTTCATTGGTTGCCATGAACAAACCAAACAGCACTTATTCAGACCTTGTTAATCAGATGTCTCCCTGCTGTGTCCATGCACATTCCAATCCAATTCAGACTTAAAAGGTGATTGTACAATCAGATTGAGAGCTTTAAGCTGACCATACACTGTTCTATTTTTTTCCTTCAACCCACAGGCTGAACGGAAAAAACAGAACAGATTCCTCCATCCACACTTACTAGCGTTGATCGAGGACTCTCCCGCTGTCGTCATTGCATCCTGAATATCCCGACAGAGACGAGGAACTGGACGAGATCTGCATGATGTATATCCAGCTTTACAATAAATGGGGTGAGACATTCATGTTGGGACCAATGGCGTAAAAATCGCCATAGCGACCCAGGCGGCCGCTATGGGGCCCGGGCACAGGGGGGCCCGGCCAGGGCCGCTATGGCATGCCGGGGTGCTGGCTGTCACAGACACAGCTCAGCAGCGACCACGGCGCATTTCCCCTCATAGCCGCTGCTGAGCTGTGTCAGTGACAGCCAGCCGCTGCGGCAGATGAGGGCGGTGTTCTGAATGGAGGCGGGGCCCGCCTCCTCTTACATCACTGGCCAGCGACCTAAGAGCAGGTGGGGCCCATCGATAGCAGAGGAGGCGGAGCCCGGAACAGGAGTCGGGCCTGGCGACCACAGAGGCGCTGACAGGTAAGAGATCTCAGACCCTGCAGAGCCCACTATAGAGAGTCTATGGTGGGCTCTGCAGGGTCACTCTCTCCGCTGGGGCTTTGCAAGTGGCATAACTAGCAATCATGGGGCCCCATACAAAATTTTGCTATGGAGCCCTGTGATTTCTAGTTACGCCCTGGTTGGGACTGTAAGCTGTTAGGACCTCATTACATCTTTTCCCCTCAGCCAAAGTGTGAATGGAGTGACCCCGCAGTCCCCATAACACTTTGCTATACAGAACCAATATAACACAAACTACAGTGGTACCTCGGTTCAAAAACGCTTCCGTTTCCAAACAGGAAGTTCCGCAAAATTTTGCGTCTGTTCTTAAACTCCGCATCGGGTGATGAACACAACCGCAGCCATCTTCCCTGCTCTGACACATGGTCGTGGCTTCCTCTAGTCAAGATCGTGGTCTGATCACAGTTTGATTCGGTTCACGACCAGAATCGTGTAATCAAATTAAGTTTGTGAACCGAGGTACCACTGTATTAGTGTGATGACAAAGATTTCCAAACATATGATGTTGCTTGAAGTGGAACTCCAGGCATAAAATGTATCTAGCTGTGGAGGGGTTAGAACCTATTTGTTACCTATGAATTACCAGCTGGAGGGAAATCTAAAACGTTGGAGGACACTTTTCTGGTGACACTGTCAAAGGAGATTATCACTCACTTTGGTTGGGTCTCTGGGGCAGGAAGTAAGCATAATGTCCCCAGTGGGGACACAGGACATAATGCAATCCTGGCTGGGTTTTAACCCTTTGCCACTGTAGCCTAAACTAGAAAAAAAAGCTTTTGGCTTAAAATCTACTTCAACAATTCCAATGAAAGAGCCCAAATTATCACAAACAGTACAGAAGTCTATCGTATCATTTATACAAAACAATAGAAGAAAATGAGTTTTACACTAAGATCACACAAAAAAAGCGTGTCTTTTAAATTCATTCAACTCTCTGCAAGAATAAACGCGGATTTTTCGCCAGCTTTGCAAACGCATGAGATAACAACGTGTCAGTAGCAGAACACACATACCTGGGCCTCGATACATACAAATAGCATTTCTATAAAGACTCCATATAAACATTCAACTCACTTCTTATTCTGGGTGAAGAACCGTGCCTGGATCTGCGCCATAGCTGAGGACAAGATACGACTGCAGACTTGTCTCCTCCAAGCGATCTGATCGCCGCATACAACCACGTGTTACACGGAGCTGGCCTGCCAGCCAATAACATCGATCTGCAGCAACTCATCATGCCTGGCCTAAAAGGAACACAACACCAAAATCATTCAACACTTATTTTCTGTTTTATTTTTTAACTAACATTATATCAGGTACCATTTGTAGCGGGATCACCTTGTATTTCTACATATCATTAGTGATATATATTTATCTCTAACAACTAAAAGTTTAAATAGATACATTTAACGCTATATGTAAGTAATTTGCATAATACAAATATACATGAATGAATATCTTTTAACCCCTCTATACCGCCAGTCCTTGTTCCTGAGTTGCATTCTATATCATATATCAACTGACATAATTTGGGGCTGCGTTCCACGGTGGTTAATCCCAGTTCCGGGATGCGTCAGAACTCAAGGCGCTGCCCGCGCTCAGCTCCATCTGCGCATGCGCACGTGTCCCGGTCTCCATGGTGTGTCCTGCGAAAGCCAAGACGAGGTTGAGTAGACTCGTTTTGAATTTTCTCTCCTTGGGTGACTGGATGACTCCCCTCCCCTTTTATAGCGTCGTGGGGCCGGGTGGAGGTCGGCCTGTGTGTTATGTTGGGGTCGCTTGGTGTTCTATGTCAATATGTGATTGTTTAGTAGTCTTCAAACATGGCCGTGTACTGTATGGAGAGGATGTATATGGGGCTGTATGCTGTGGCTCCTCCTGCTGGTATTGTAGGGGCTAGGAGATGATACCACAAATTGGAGGGGGGGAGGAGAATCTAGCACCTCCAGATACTGAATAAAACAAACTATGGACTTGTCACTTTTCTTTTTTCCACCTTAGAACATTTTCAGCAACGACAGACTATACCTGTTGATCATGCCAGAAAAGCTGGGCCCTTGTCACTTCCTGTGAGCTGAAAAGATAGCAAAAACAATGTTCTCTCATCAGCCCCTGTGTAACGGAGAAGAACAAAGGCAGATATGTTAAAGGTTCAGCCTGTGTGAGCATGGCTACCTACATGGGTGGAAAATGGGTGTAGACACGACGGCACAGGAAGTGTGCTCTAGTACCATTACTAGGTAAATCATAATAATGCAGCCACCACATCTAAGATCTGCTACCCTGCAATGTACTATGTTTTAGGGGTGATTTATTAAGAATAAATATGCGGTTCACATTGCAAAGGGAAGTCGCACTTTGCAGTGGAAGTTTCCCCTTACTTTAGTGAATCAGATGAAGCTCTTCCATCGCCCAATCATGTGAAAGCAAAAATGCTGTGTTTTATTTCCTTACGCATGATTGGGTATTCATTGTGAAGTGAAATGTCTCCACATTTACTAAGCTAAGGGGCAAATTCCCTTGCAAAGTGAGTAGACTATTTGCCTATTTTAGTAAATCAACCCCCAAAAGTCTTCCTTTTTTTTTTTTTTAAATCCGAGCACGCTGTCAATCAGCCAGCTGGGTGGATCTCGGCAGTATTGCCAGAATCCGTCCCGGCTTCGGCGCTCTCAGTATATAGCAAGCTGTTCCTCCCTATATACTGAGCTTTGGGTCACAGGAGGAGGTTAGTATATGTCCTCCTGTGACCCTAAAGAGAACTATGGGATAAAAAGGTTACCCTATAGTTCTCTTTTAAGTGCATTGTCACTGAGTGGGTTAGTTTTAGCTTTGTTAACAAATTCGAAATATTCCTTTGTTCATGAGACGCTGGCATATTCTGTTGGGTATAAAAATGCACAAGGGTGTTTCCTTCCAAACTCAAAGCCCTTTTTTATTATTATAATGCAGTCAGACTGCGTGTACAGTAATAAATATGGCGCTCCTTTCCTCTTTATAACTGTGCTGGCAGATCGCGGCTCTCACACAAAGCAGCGCTCCGTTCTCTAGCAGTCTAGAATGAACCACCTAAACAATGCTCTATTGAACACCGCTCTTGCTCCCCGTCTCATCATGACTCTTTCTTCCTTTAAGACTCTAATGGTGCCCATACACTTTACAACTCTCGCAAGACTTTTGTCTTGCGAGAGTTGTAGAGGACTTAAAAAAACATCTTGGACAGGCAGATCGTACTTGCCATCATCGCAAGCCCGTGCAGTGTATGGGCACCTTAACCCTGTAACCATCATGTTCCTGATCTGCACGCATGTTCCTGGTCAGTGACTAAGAATGTGTTAAAGGAGAACTATGAGGTGAGTGCTTTTCACTCACCTCATAGTTCTAGCCGACCTGTGACAATGAGACCGTCACAGGTCGGCTCAGTAGATCGGGAGGTGAGCGAACACATACCGGCGTTCTCTCACCTCTCGATCCTGTCACGGCTCTCTGCCGTGACGGGGAGGGGCTGGATTCCCTGCTCCGATCTGCCAGCGCTGACTGGCGGAATGGACGGGGGAGGGGGCGTGTACAGCTGGCTCTGCCTCTAGATAGGCAGAACCAGCTGTCGCTCACGCAGCTGGGCGGATCCCGTCGTCTAAGTCGGGATCCGCTCCGGCTGCGGCGTCTCAGTATACCGTGAGCTGTAGCTCGCGGTATACTGAGCTTAGGGTAACGGGAGGACGCTAGTTTGTGTCCTCCCGTTACCCTAAGGAGAACTATGGGGAAAACACTGACCCCATAGTTCTCCTTTAAAGCCCCAGAGGGCCGCATAACAGGCAACTAGCATTTACGGAAAGAGATCAACAGTAGCAGCACAGATATTTATGAAGCCAATTATGTCTGGAAGGGGTATACACAAAGTCAAATACGGCAGCTGATTGCAACATGGATTGTATATAGCAGTGGTTCTCTACCTCAGGACCCACATTTGTCCTTGGTCATTAAGCCGTGGAACTCAAGGCTTTGTTTTACTGGCCGTTCCGGTGTGGGGGGTGCTATACAGGCCAGGTTCACACCTAGGCGGTTGTGCTGGTGAGCTGTTTTCGCACGGTTGTCACACGGTTTTTGCACAAATTAGCTTTGAAAACCGTGCGGTTTTCAATGCACAGAGATGTCTATGGGACCCAAACCATGCGGCAAAGGCCCAAAAATTGCTCCTGCACCGTTTTGCTTGACAGCTGATTTTGCCCGCATGACAAAACGCATAGGTGTGAATAGCCTTCATTAAATTGGTGTTTTGCACGATAAATCACCTATCTGAGCACCAGCCCTCAAATGAATGGCAATGCACCTCCTGCACCAGAGCACACGGTAGATGTGATTGTGTGGTACAGTGCACTAAATGCCCAGTCTCCCTACCTTACAAAAACGAGTGGATCCTCAGCCCGGGGTCCAGTGTGGGCTACTGTGCTTTGACGGAGCTCCAACCATATGTGCATTGCTTATACAACTCCCTTCAGCACCCTGTAATGGTACCGGGAGCCAGAATGTGATGTCCCTCCGGTCCAGGCACCTCTACAGGGCATGAGGGAGCTGTAAGCAATTCATGTATGGATGGAGCTCCCTCACGGCCATACCCTTAGCCCACCCCACCTTAAGCTAACACACAGCGCCTGGCAGCATATTTGGAAGGCTACTCAGCGTAAGAACTGACAGTGTTGCACTAGGGGGAGGCTGAGGAGCCAGTGGAAGCCAGGCAGTGACCCACTTTTGTGTCGTGACCCACCAGTTGAGAACCATGGGTATATAGAATTGGACGTGCATATTGCAATTTACAGAACTCAACAAGGCCAGGTGGCAGCTTACTGTGGGTTAGATTTGCAGACTCATGGGTCCATCACTCATGCCCCAGTACTATTTTTGTGATCTGCCCAAGTGCAAATCAGAAGACCGGTTCCTATTCTATTTATTCTCTAGGTATGTGTATATTACAGAATAGGGCATGATGATTGATGCATGTTTTTGCTGGTGTATATATACCCTGTTTGTGGTATAGGAGTTTCTTGCTTTCTTTTTTGTAGGGATGTGGCAGGGAGCATGTTTTGTACACTGTGCTTATCTTGTGTGGCTTTTTTTAGAAGCTGTTGCCTTATTGACTCCTGGGTCCCTTGGTTCACTGAGTGCATTGTTTTGTTACCTTTCTTCTTATTGTGTGGGGCTATTATTATTATTTGGTGTTGCTGGTGGAAATATTGTATACAGAGTGTAGTTGTGTGAAGTTATTTTATGTATTATTTAGAGTTCAGCAATGCGCAGTATTGTTCATTGGACATTTCATTAAAATATATATTGGGGAAAACTGTATTGCAGAAATATTAGCCTTCAGGATAGAGAAACAATGCAGTGTCATGGGCACATAGGGCCAGGTTCACACCTAGGCAGCATGATTCTTGCGCATTTGTACGCGCGTGGTTATTTGCACATTGGGCACATTTTGATGCGTGTACAAACGGGCACAAAAATGTGCAACATGCTTCTGCCGCATTTTGATTGAAGTCTATCCGGCAAAAATGTGCTGTTAACTGCCCAAAGAAGCTCATGTACCTTTTTGGGCATTTGGCGTCTTCCTGCTCAGGTGCGAACAGGGCCATTCAAAACCATAGGATTTCTTGTATTGGGCATTTAAAAGCACTTTTCCAACTGCTCAAAAATGCCTAGGTGTGAAGCAGGCCTAACAGTGCTTAGAAAGTTGGTAATGGTAATATTGGTATGGAATCTGAAATTTGTATCCCCACTTTGCATTGGAGGACTGGGAGGGTAGATATAGAGCTTTATGCTCAGCAAATGTACTTATTTTTAAAGGTCATGCCATCCACCCCCATAAATAGTGGCAAAAACCACTATACTGCTAAGCACCTAACCACAGCCTATTCCTATACCCTCTCTGAATTCTTCCCCACTTGTTTGTTTAGGTAAAACCATTGCCTGAAAAATATTAGTTTAATGACAACTGTACCTTTTGTATAGTTGTGCCTTAATCTGCCCTGATCTAGCAAACGTCACTGTTTAGTCTCACTGGAAGCCACATGGCTTTCTCTCTAAAAGGGCCGCTTCATACTGTGCTTTTGTTCCATGGTCCCATTCTTTTCCATAGGAAAGGCGTACTTGTGGCGGCCTCCAGAGGTTGCTCAGAGGGCCAAGATTAAATGGTTGGGTGACACTGGTAATCATCCAGTCAGGAAGTTGGACCCAGAAGGGTTGAAATAGGCGAGCATGGACCCGTGCGGCAACGTAGACTGGAGTGGGGCATTGATCTCAGAGGAAATTGGAGCATAAACTTTACAAGAAAAGGCTTTAATTACTCTTTCTTTATATGTAGATGTTACAATAATAAAGTGTAAGTGCAGTGCTTTTTTGACAGATTGTGGGTACTAATTATTATGGGTGAACTCAGAGGTGCAATGAGCGTTAAAGCCTATCCTCAGAAACAGAAAACCTTCCTCCGCACTGCAAGGGTTAATTGATTGTTTTTGTCTAGAGGGATTGTGCAAAGCACCTTTACTTACCTGATCCCCGGTGTTCTGCACTCACCTCACTTCCCTCTGTTCAGGCTTGTGGACTGTCTCTCGGCATCCTGGTCCCCTAGGGTTTGCACCACTGCAAGGGGAGGTTTTTCATTTTCCTGGAGATATGCTTTAACCTAAATGTGCTCAATACTGAGCCCTTCCGAGTTCATTAACAGCCACAAGAGGTGGGTGAACGTAAACATGAGGTGCCAATGACACATAACTTTAGACAAGACAGTAGAAAAGTGTATACTGCTCAACTCCTTTGCCTGTATACCTATATGTACTGATAAATGGGCACATACATACATACACTGCAGATGCACACTGCCTGAGCAAAAAAAGTCACCACCTGGATTTAGCCAAACAAATAGATGAGTGTCTTCCATTGGATAATTCCTGCAGTGATTAGTATGTTTCATATATTATCTTCCCATAAAATGAGGTCAGCTGCCTGACATCATTATACTGAATACGGTATATACTGAATGCACAGGTTTTTTTTATCAACTGATTTTTTTCTTCCCTGATTGCATGAGCATATTCAAAGATGACAATGCCAGGATTCAACATGCTGAAATTGTAAATGAGTGGTTTAGGGAGCATGAGACATCATTTTTACACATGGATTGGCCACCACAGAGTCCAGACCTTAACCCTATTGAGAATCTTTGGGATGTGCTGGAGAAGACTCACAGTAGTGGTAGTGTAGGCAATAGCCAAAAATAAGGCAGAATGATGTCCTCATTAATGTGGAATGAATGTGCGAAGAAAGTATCATCAAAGAACCACCTTGTGTTTGTAAAGGGCCAGAAAGACCTTATTGAAAGCCTATTAAGCTGTAGGATGTTTTGGCACGAGGGTGTAGCAATAGGGGTTACTCCCTGAACACAGCTAAGGATTAAGAAGTGGGGCGATGGCTGCCTTCGGACCAGGTTATGAACTTTGGATGTTTATTGTGATGTTTCACCATTAGATGCACATCTGAACAGGTTCATTTGGGATGTAGCTGACAAAACACATCTTGAATCCATTCACTTGGGTCTAGTCGTTCACTGCCTTTTAATTTGCAAAAGTAAACTTGTACTTTAAGAAGAGCTTCCTTGAGAGTTTTCAAATGATCTTTTTTTGTGAAAAAAGTGAACCCACTGCCCACTTAGAGGATCTAAAAAATGAAAACTGCATCAAACCAAAAACCTAGCAGAGCTCAAACGACTAGTAACTGTAACTGGCAACTAGTAACTAGTAACTGGTATTTCTTGTGATCTCACTGTAGCTGATCTGTTTCATATTAGTGACATGGTAAATGCCTTATTCTGAATTGTGTCACTGTGTGGAGGGGACCATCTTAGTAGAGGAGCAGGGCATTGCTTTCTCATGTCAGAGCTGCCTCCGTGATGTCTGGTGATCTGATGACTGGTGGGGTAATAATAAGAATTAGCAGGAGAGGTGCTGAAAGCACAGTTCCAGGGAATAAATGAAGAAGAGGCAGGGAGATCCTTGCTCTGCAGGTCATCAGGTATAGATTCCTCTACAGTAGGCACTCAGGAGAACAGTGAGCGGCACAGTCATGATATTGCCAAACCTCACGTCTAATCTTGTGAAACTAACAGTCAGAGGCAGCAGGGCCTTACATGATTTGACATTCCAGATATACAAACATTAGGCAACAGAACATGAATACCTAAGCTTAGTCATGTGTCTGGAAGTGCAATGCTATTTTTCATGAATTCAAGACTAAAGGTCATTTTTTCAGCACACTGCCTAGCTACAATTAGCCATTCTGGACGTTCCCTTTAAAATAGGAAATATTCACTTTTGGAATTCATGTTCACTTTAAGATGATGTTACATGCAAGTATTTGGAATTTAACCACTTCAGCTCTCACACCTGTACACCATCTAGTAATGCATATATCATTTTTTAGGACAAACAAGGCTTTCTATTGGTGATATTTTCTTGCAAAAATGTGTTTATTTTTTTACGCAATCCATAAGAAAACAAAATGTACCAAAACTTTTTAAAAAAGCACTGCCTTGATCAGTGTTTCACAAATGAGTGTTACTGTAGATAAAAAATATCTTTATTTTATCATTTAAAATGACACAGGAAAATTTATGTACAAATCAAAGGCTTTTTGTTTCAGTTTTGCAGATTTTGTTTAATACGACTAACAAAACCAATAAAAACCAAAAAAAAAAGTTCACACAATAATGGTTAGAAAAATAGAAATAAAATATAAGCAGAGCAATAAAGTGCAGAAGGACTGATTAGAGTCAACTAAAAGGTAATAAGGGGTTAAAAATGAACGTATGAAAAGGAGCTACACCATATGTGGAATACTCAGACACAAGTGTCGTACATGTAAGAAATACTAAATATCTACATATTGAAATACGTTTATTTCACAAACATCTAAAAAGTGCTATACATTATAAAAACAATATAGCCAAGATTCCATATGTGAGTAGACAAATGTACACAACTCCCGATTCTTAGATGTATATGTACATCATTATAATTTAATACAGCAGGGTGAAAAAATTTACAAATTTACGGATTCAGCCCGTATTGTGCGGCGCTGAATCCGCTTCTTCAGACTCTGCTATATAGTGTGCAATTTTGTACATTCTATCAGAGAACCAAAAAATAAAGATTACAACAAAACAACAATGAACACATACAATTCAATCATTTATCATATGTGCGTCTATATATACGTACGTGTCTGGTCAATAGAAATGCGTAAAAAGCCACACCCCTATCCATGCCATGACAGTAGGTCAGAACGCCTCGCGCAGGGACCGCAAAAGAGAGAGAAGGGAAACATCACCAAAAAAAATTTAGAAAAATTGTCCGGTTGCTTTAACTGACCTCCATATGCAGATCAAAGCTCATCCCTCTGATCTGCAGATGTATGAAACAGAATAGATGTATACAACAACTCTGAGCTCTCATTTTGACAGTAACTGCTAGCAAGTGCCTGGGAGGGGGGGAAAGGAAGTGGCAGCGGAGAAGGACAGGACATACTACACATGCCCTCTGTACTTCAATTCTTCAATGGGCTTGTGTAGTACCTCTAGTTTCCACAACTGGTTAGGTAAAACAAGAATGCTTTTCAGTCAGTTTTTTTCAGTTTACATTTTTTAGAGAGAAATTGAACTCTGGAAGCTGTGCAACAAAAAGGCAGACAGAGGGGCAAAGGACTAGTCACCTGGCTTCCTGCAGCTGACCTTTCTCCCATGACTGATTTATCATTCCCTAGCTCTGCACTGTATCTTTATTTGGAGGTGGCTATCTTGGTTGGGACAGGGATTTGCTTTTTTCACGTTAGAGCCTCCAGCAAGATGTACATTGAGCAGCACAGGAGTGATGTCACCAAATCTCATAAGAATAGCAATCAGAGGCACAGTGCAGAGATATAGCTATGAAGCACAGGAGTTCCTAGACACGCTTCCATACCAGGAAATTTAAGACAAAAGGTGTATTTTTCAGACTGCAACTTAGGTAAAATGAAAGTTGCCTGGCTGTCCCTGGCTTCAATACTATTCTGAGATATTGGCCTACTACAAGAATACAGAATAGGAAAATCAGAGCTCCTAATCCGCATCTGATTTTAGGTCAGTGACTGAAAGTACTGAAGCCAATGATCAAGCATGACAGCCAGGGAAATTGTGTTTTCAACATGTAAGGTCAGCAATGGCAGCCTCCATTTTTTCCTAATGGAAATGTAATTTAAAGCACATCATCACTTAGTAATCCAAGTGTAGAGCCATACATAGGAATGAATGAGGACCCTGGCATGCAAGCACAGCAGGCACAGTGTATCATAAAAATGTTTTTCATTTTTATGTGAATGAAATACTTGTTTTACCTTTTTTCTCATCCTTTGTTGTATTTTTTTGACCCTAAAGCAAGGATTGTTCTTTTATTTAATGAGTAAATAGCATGCATCTCATGATAATTTACAGACCAATCTGTAACAAATACAGCACATTATAATGAAGACAGTATATGTGAAATTACCATTGTATACCCTTAATAAACCACTGATAAGCCATTCTCAAAGGTTTTCATTGTGCAAACATTTGGTTTTAAGAATTTGTTGCCTTGGACATTGTTTTGATGCACTACAAGTAATGTTTTGCTCAATATTTCCTTTGTGCTCATGTTTGTTGATGTATGGTAGCTGTGCAGAGCACCTGACATGAATAAAGTGTCCTACAATGCTTCATAAAAATGTGGTTTCTGAGTGAGTCCAGAGTGTAAAAAATTTAGCTTAGAAGACTCAAAACTTTTATACTTACATCTTAGCTTGACTAAAGGTGATCAGCTCTAGTCCGAGTATAATGTGCACATTATAATCTAATCAGGAAGTTATAGGATCAAATGACTTATTGAGAATGATGTGAATATACAGAAATATATATCGATTGATCATACAATCTATTATCCTTTCTTCCAGACAACCGTGAAATGGAAAGCAGTGGATTGGAATCTCACACAGTGACGCACCCCACAGAGCTGCTTATCACTTGCACCAATGTGGACACTCAGGCAGAGGAAACAGAGCTGGAAGCCGAGGTCAGTAAATCACATTGCAGTAGAATAGGATCAAAGTAGAAATTCATGCAAAAATTGTTCTAGTTTTTGATAGAACAGAAAGGGATATAACCTCTGCCAAGAAACTAAATGGGAGAAAATAACAATCTACCAGTGGGAACACCTGTTCTGGTGACAGCTGCCAGTTGTGGGTTTTCCTATCACTTGAGGGATCCTTCACTTATTGGGGATACAGACAACATTAAAGTATATGTATTGGCAAAAATTATTTTCTAGTTTTGGATAAAGAAGGACTAAAATCCCAGTCAGGCTATTTAATGTTGTCTGTAGCCCACTGAGGAGATTTTCCTTCATTTGCCATTTTGAAGACACAACAGAAAATGAGAAACAAATTTCCCAAAGTGAGGGGAATTCCCGTAGATTAGATAGTTGTTACCAGATCTAGGGATACCCTAAGGTTGAGACTGAACTTGAGCTCCTGCAAACAAGGAAGTGCCATGGGAACTTCCACCCAATCAGCAAACATTCTCCACCCTCTAGCTGTAAGTAAACAAAGGGGCAGGATGGTTGTGCTTACATAATTTACCTAATATGGCCACATTTACGAAATAAAGGCTTATAGCCATGTAAGGTCAATGACATCAATGCATCCCGCACCTTTGCTTAAGTCAGGTTTGGCGGGAATCCCCACCAGCAGCTGATTGGGCGGTATGGAAGGAGCTTCCTTCTGCGTTCTGGAGGAGTTCCTTTTGGGTTCAGAGGAGCTGAGGTTCGGACCAGGTTCAGTCCAAACCTGAACTCATCTCTAGCCAAAACATATGTCCCCGTTGGATGATACACTATATTGCCAAAAGTATTGGGACGCCTGCCTTTTACACACACATGAACTTTAATGGCATGCCAGTCTTAGTCTGTAGGGGCCAATATTGAGTTGGCCCACCCTTTGCCGCTATGACAGCTTCCACTCTTCCGAGAAGCCTGTCCACAAGGCTTAGGAGTGTGTCTTTGGGAATGTTTGACCATTCTTCCAGAAGCGCATTTGTGAGGTCAGGTACTGATGTTGGATGAGAAGGCCGGGCTCGCAGTCTCCGCTCTAATTCATCCCAAAGGTGCTCTATCGGGTTGAGGTCAGGATTTTGTGCAGGCCAGTCAAGTTCCTCCACTCCAAACTCGCTCATCCATGTCTTTATGAACCTTGCTCTGTGCACAGGTGCGCAGTCATGTTGGAACAGGAAGGGGCCATCCCCAAACTGTTCCTACAAAGTTGGGAGCATGAAATCGTCCAAAATGTCTTGGTATGCTGATGCCTGTAGAGTTTTCTTCACTGGAACTAAGGGGCCAAGCCCAAGCCCTGAAAAAAAAAAAAACCCCACACCATAATCCCCCCTCCACCAAACTTTGCACTTGGCACAATGCAGTCAGGCAAGTACCGTTCTCCTGGCATCGGATTGCCAGACGGAGAAGCGTGATTTGTCACTCCAGAGAACACGTCTCCACTTCTCTAGAGTCCAGTGGCGGCGTGCTTTACACCACTGCATCTGACGCTTTGCATTGCACTTGGTGATGTAAGGCTTGGATGCAGCTGCTCAGCCATGGAAACCCATTCCATGAAGCTCTCTACGCACTGTTGTTGTGCCAATCTGAAGATCACACGAAGTTTGGAGGTCTGTGCTGACCCCTCTCTGTCATTTTACGTGGCCTACCACTTTGTGGCTGAGTTGCTGTTGTTCCCAGTTGCTT